AGAGAGATGTGTTTTCTCGTTCCTTTCGCCACGGCAATAAATAATCATCGTCCTAATGAATTCGTGTGGTCCGTAACTACCGGTCCGGCCGACTCGGGGAGCGTCTCTCTTCGTTTCCTTTTCTTTTTCGCGATACCAAGAAACACTTTTCGCATCACATGCATCAGTAATGCGTTACGGTTTCGTACAACGCAAGTCGAACAACGTGTCGCTACTTGCGCGCGCGTAAAAAGCAACCCGGAGAATCAACACCGAAATTCTCGGTGCTCCTTTTGTCGCACAAGACCGGCGCGGCGCGGCGCGGCGCGGCGCGGCGATCGGCGGTTTTCTCAACACCGACGTTAATTACCTTCGCGTTGCGCATGGCGTACGTGCGAGGGAACCTGAATTACGGGGTCTCTGAACGCAAAAACTCCTCGTGCGTCGGAGGTACGTACGGATTGCGCGAGAGAAAGAGAGGAGGGAAAGAAAAGCGCGCGCGAAGGGACGCAAAGAGGCGCGCCGGTTATTTATAAGCCGCTAAGGTACTCGGTATAGCTTCGAAGCCTTCGAACCACGACTGCTCTCCTCTGTACGTTTCTTCTTCCCTCCCCCCTTTTTTTTTTCTTTTTCGTTCGTGACATCGACATTCGGCTAAAAAACCGCGAAAGAAACGGAACGATCTTTATGACACGCTTCGTCGTTGCGTGTATGTACTATGTATCTCTCATCGACCTTTTCTTTTTTTTTTTTTTTTCACCACTCTTGCTAATTTCAATCCGATTGCTACCAAAGGAAACTTGCTACTGCAAGTTGCAAGTATCGTCGTTTTCATTAAAAATGTTTCGTAGAGATACGATAACTGAAATAAAAATCGAACATAATTGATATTACATTCCATTATATTTGCTCACTATTCGACTATTACTTTGCCAACAATGAACTTTTAACTTTTAACGAGCAGAATTTACATTTATTTTTCTTTAATCTTTGCAGAGTTCCTTTGAATTCTGTACGAGAATAAATAAACTGCACTTGTTAAATGTGGTAACTTTACCACATTTAACTCGATGGGGGTGCACAAATTAAATTTGCAGAATGGAGAATTAAAAGCCCGTGCAGTATATATACTTAATTCCGAATATGTGTGTCTGTGTGTCGGTGTATGCTTAAGAACTGTATATCATATAGAAATATATACAAGACGAGCATGCGAAAATACTTGGAATATTAAAGGTGGGTTGAGATCTCCGTAACTCATAAATCATCGGCGTCTACTTGTACCTACGTATTCGCATGTCGACAGGATAGTCCATCTTTTAAATACATATGTGGTGCGTGTCTGACTAAACCCTTTTGGTCTTCTTAATGACTAGCGTCATTGTATACTTAAATCACTGCCTTCGAGCTTTATGATTACATAGTCGTCGAGCAACGTAAACGCAGTTAATTGAACATTAATAAATTATCGAATCGACACGTTATCAGTAATTACACAAGCACGCCAATAAAAGATTAAGTTCATTCAGAAAAGTAATTGAGAGCATTGTAGAGCACCTTACGATGCGGCTTTTAGTCAGATTTTCTCGATTTGGAATTTTTAACGAAATAAAGATAAATCTTCTGAAATGAAGAGTACTGCAAATGCGGAAGAAAAGTGATACGAACGAAAAGTAGCAATTAAGGTATCACCGTTCGCAATGTTCGTATTATTATATAGCTGCGTATTATTATATACGCTAAAAGTAAAAATAAAAGTCTTGGAGACAGGTGAATCGCGTGCTCTTCTTCATGAACGAATAAATCATGGATGAGGCTGGACTTCCGCGCTTTATTCCACGGCTCGTTAATTCCAGAATCCTTCATGCAGAATGGATCGTTTCTTTTTTCGGGAATTCTGCAACGAGACGAGGATCATGCATGTCCCAACACAGGACCCATAGCCCCGGAATTTTTCCGCAGATCATTTATGGTGAACGTACCTTGAAGTACGATCCATTGTACTCCCTTTCTGTACATACGTTTAGTTCGTACGTGTACAAGTGCAGTTTGCCCCTACATAATGTTTCAGAAGAAGGTATCAAGTTTTCGAGAAGAAACGTGCGGCGAAATATAAATATTATATGAAATAGATATTATATAATAGTTATAATTACATAAAGTGTTTTATAAATAAAATATTTAAAAAATGTGAATTTTTTTTTCCCGAAAATATTTCATCGTTTTAAGATGCAGATTTGAAAAAAAATTTAAGCAGATTCTATAAGCGAACAATTTGAATGATTTCTTTCTTTTAAAGTTCGAACAAAATCACATGGATTTTTAAGATTCGATTGTTCAAATAATTCCGATATAAAAAGGAATTTGAAAGAAAATATATAATTCATAAAATATATAATGCCAACAGAAATAGCATAATTTTCGTTTTTTCTCACAATTAGTTTAATTCTATTTTATTATAATATTTAAATTCAATCTTGACAGAGATAATTAAATAATTTAAGACATTAAAAGCTCATAATTGTTTATAAATAATCAAAGAATCTGAATATTAATACAAATTTACTTCGTAAAGCTAATTCGTACAGCTAATGTAAAAACTAGCGTTGGGAATACCAAAAAAGAACATTAAAGAGAATTCTAAATAGAGACAACAGAAATCGTTACAAAAGAAATCGATCGAAAGAAATTCAGACTGCAGGGACAACACTGAAGAATCTGCGGAAGCTGCGACAGCCAGCAAGTTCAACTACTCGTTGCTGCTGCTGCTAGTTGTCCTCGAGAATCTTTGTATGGGATAGATAGAAAATAAATGAGCGAGCGTCGTTCCCATAGGATTCTTACTAAGTTGAGACTTGTATGGAACAGCATGCGAAAGCAATCATCACTGATTATCACTGATAGTGGCGACCACAATCCCGTCACGGGCCGAACGTTTTCGCTTCCGTCGTATTTTTTTTCACGCTCTCGTACGTCATATTTTCATAGTCGATTCTGGTAATTTTTGCAGCATCCTGTTACGCGGAGTTCGTCGAACCGCGTCGGAGCAGTGACCGTCATCGACGTCGTCCGTAATTTAGTAACAACCGAAAAAATGACCTTGAAAAAAAAATTATGCTACAGATCATAGCTTATAAATAGTAATAACGTTCTTTTATGATTCTCAAAACTCTTCGTTTTATAAGCACATTGGACTGGAAGAGTCGTAAAATACATATTTTTGTTCTTTATTTCGTTATCTCATTATTCAGATGTAATGTAAATAAAAAAATTGTTATTAGAGTAGATATTGGCGTCACTTGTCTCAATTTTGTAAGAATTAATATGATATTTTATTTAATATTCTGATATTTTATCAAAGTATTTTTATAAATACAATAAATGTATTTTTAAACAATATTTTATATATTTTACACTAAAATAAATATTTGCTTAAAAATAAAATTCGTGTAACGACGAATTTTGTAAGATTTATGGATTTGTATGTCATTTAAATTTGTGTATTACAAATTAAATTTATTGTTTTGTTCTTTATTGTGTGCAAATATTTAAATTATCTATTCTACAATGTGCTCTTTGTTTCTTGTTTTTTTTTTTTTACCTCTTGTTTTTCTCCTTTGTCATCGCATTATCAACAATTATATTTCTTGTTACGTGTTTCCTGTTTCTTCCGAAGTTCATTAACTTTTATCTCGGGCGACATAAAACAAAAAGACAAGATAAGAAAATAGCAAAAAACAAGAAACAGAAAACGAAAAGCTCATTAGTAGAATAAACTATTATAAATATGTATAAGTAAATGTGCAAATATTTAAAAAAATCTTGTTGATTCACAAGTATTCTCTACAGGGCTCTTGACTGATTACATCAGCGTGATTCTTCTTGATAATTCATTTTTTTAATATCACTATCAGATTCATTACGGTTATAAATAGCGGAACCTGTTCCCACGAGCCGATCCGACAGGGAAAATCGTATCGATGCCGCGATATGGTGAGAAAAAAACGTACACGCACGGGTTGGCACAAGAGGTGCATCCTGCGCGATCCAAGGTCGAGAAACAGAAGAGACGCGACGGTCTACATAACTCGATCTTGGATGCTGCAATGGCTTGGATGGCTTTATACTTTCCGTCGACACGCTGTATCTTCAACTTGCTCTCGTATCCGTTTTTCACGAGATCGGCATGCCGCAATGACGACGAGGGTCCTCCTTCTCGAGCGTAAGCCTTTGGATGCGCTCAACTTGGCTTTCATCAGTATCGAAGTGTCTTCACGCACAAACGAAACCTGCTCTGTACCATTATTCCTTAATTGATTGATAATTATCTTGCACAAAATATGGTATAAAGGTATCACTGCTGACTGTCTTCAAAAAGAAATGCTATTAGACTTGATGTTGCACACAAGAAGTATACTTTACGTAATTACACTTGTTGCAATTGAATATAACGTAAAATACTTGAAACATATATATATATATATATAAAAAAAGAATATCCGGTAAGGTAGACGCAAAAAAAAATTTAAGTATCGTTTCGTTCCAATTGAGTGGCATTTTTTTGCTAAAAGGAGATAACCAAGAAGAACTGAGAAACTCAATTATCTGTATAATATTTTGTTTATAATATTTTCTTTCATGTTGACGCATGAAAGAGAGAGAGAGAGAGAGAGAGAGAGAGAGAGCCCACACTAATCCTATACAGTGATAACTAGCTCGAGTGCGAGAAATGCGATTGAACGGAGAACTGGACAGTGTCGCATTCTCCGGTGAAGAGGTGCGAATTCCTGGACACGGTATCGGTTCTCGTGTGTAATGTGTAACATCGAGCGTGTAACGATCGGAACACGGTTTGTGCCCCCTTCCACACCTGCACGCAGCCACTATTCCTTCTCGCGTGCACATACACACGCGTGCCGGTGCTCCACGCACACCGGCAAGCCAATTGGAGAGTCAAGTCTTGGCCAAGTCTTTATAAGTAGGAGCCATCCGCGTCCTCAGGACTTACTCCCTCTCGGGAACGTGCCACGATCAGCAACCGATTTTCAGAATAGTTGGTAAAAAGTTTGTAAAGCCAGCCAGGGCTCACGCTCCACGAATTTCCGAAGACGAGGATTGAAAGGAGACGGAAGGATTTGTGAGATGACGAACGTGGACGACTAACAAATGACGGAATTCTTTGCTGAATGCATCGAAATGTAAGTCCATATATTCTTTTTTCATATTTGCGAAGGAAAACCAATCATCTGTAATTTTTGGTTTTTGCAAAATAAGCTAAAAAGTTAGATTTCTTTTCATATAGATTGGATATTTTTTGAAAATCTGTGCAAGTTTTGAAATGTATTTGTTAGTAGAAAAAGTGATTAAATCATTAATCTCTAGGAGATTGCATATGTGCGGAAAATTAAATGAGAATTATGAGACGTATATTTTTTTTTAATTTGCGCGTTTGTATTTCATTAATGAAAAGTGATTAGATCATTAATCTCTAGGGGGTTGCATGATGGCGAAAGATACTTGTACCGGTCAATGAATAAATGTCTGGCGTTTAAATAATCAAGAGAATAAATCTCGTTTGAATCAAAGTTAATTTATAATATAATTTTTCGGAATCATCATAAGCGGTCACGCAAATATAATTTATTATCTGCAGTTCTGAAAAACTTCGTAGAAATATCCTTGGGATATTTCTTCGCTTCCTTGGGAAGTAGATTGGCGGAGTATTTAACGAAGGCCTTAGAGGGAAGTGATTAGCATAAATTTCGACGTCCGAGGCGTTACTGGTCGAAAATTTAAGCAGCCTCATAAATACATAGCGATTATGATGCATCAGATAACGGAGATCGATTCGATCATGCGTTGGTGTCGATAATTGATAACCAAATGATGCGTTAAGTTCCTCAAAATGTTATATATCTAATTTTGTTAATGCCAAAATAATTTGCATAATTATTGCGTTTAGCACACATTACTAATCTACATATTTTATAGTGGTAAACATAGTTACGTTTATACATTTTTGTAAATGTATTGTAAATTTTTCTTACGTTGCAGCGCTTTTCATTTAGCTCTTGAGATCAAAAGCTTAATTGATTATTACAAGTTAACAGGTATAGCAAAAGTATCAGAAGTCTCATAATTTAAATCGAAGCTACTTTATTACTGAGATTAAGCACGATATATGTATAATGGATACCTTATTTCCGATAGTTATCTATAATTAATAGCCATTAGGATTCCATTAAACTAGTTATACTGTTAATACATAACGATCACTCGCAATTTTACGTCTTAAACGTATAATTGAATGTGATTATGTTTATTGCGATAATAAAATATGAAAACAGTAATTTAAATGAAAACCCTCCTTTTAATTATTTCTATCGTGAAATTATCTGATATCACCTAATAATACAATATAAAAAAAAAAACTCTTAAAACACGAACACTTCGTATAATAGCTTTCATTCATACCTCACACTTTTATAATCATATTTTCGCGTTCTAAAATTGCTACCAAAAAAATACTATTGGCATTTAGCGTAATAAAAAAGCTCTTTGGAGCTGGTCGAAGATCAATGTCGAGCGTGTAATATATGTCGTTATATGGTCATGACACTGGTCGTCACGTAACTGTTTCACCCGGTCACAAGCGGGTCTTACAATACTCGTAACATGCCCACAATGTAAATGACCGTTGCCGAAATATAAATTCCCCCGCTCGATCGCGAATTCGCGTCACGATCTGAACGGCTGCTGTATTTGGCTCGACATTCCGCGCTTCGTATGCTCGGCTCGAGCACGGCCGATCAATCCCGTCGTTCGATCTTGGCATTGAAATAACCGATTGGCCAAGAAAAATAAACAGGCTTGCTCGCGGGCGCATAATGCATTATGTACGCTTGTGTAGCATTTCGTAATCTGTAGACGGCAACAGCCTTAAGTGATACCGGTCTTAAAATTAATTTTCGGTCTGATGTATCATAAAGAAACACCGCACGTGCACTGTGTAAGTATCGAGCGAATCATGCGAATTTCATTCCAACGTATTACTTAATTATTGCTGTACAAAATGCGCCTTAAAAATTGCACGTGTAATAAATAAATGTTTGTTACAAGCAATAATTAGGATAAATGAGAGAAGTATATTAGATATCTATGGAATATCGCAGTATAAAATTTGTTAAAAGTGTAAAGTGAATCACGCAACTTTTTCTATCTCTTTTAATGATAAAAAGTGGTCTCACTCGCAAAATATTGTATCGATAATATTTTGGGGAGTAAGACCACTTTTTTTAATCATTAACAGAAACAGACAAAAATCGCGTGATTCACTCAGCGCTCTGTATTTTTTATTATACAGTTATCACGATTAAATAGAAGAATTTGAAAAATAAATAATTAATTAACAATTTTTAATGCTAACATAAAAATAGTTGTTACATTATTTAAAAATGAGAAATCAACATAAAAAGATCCTATGTAAACCTCTTGTTACAAAGAACAATCTTTACAAAAGAAAATGTGTAATTATACAAAATTTTTTTTCGTTACGTGATACAAGGAATGTTTCCATTACTAACAATATTTTAACGAGCAACGTTTCCAGACAGTTTAACCTTGCGCAATTATTCCAAAATGGAAGATAAAAGTTACCGGAAGAAGAAAAATTCAAAATTGACTCAACGGCAACTATACACGCGCTTGTTTAATCATATTCTGTATATAGAATAAAAAAATCAGTAAAATCTTACCGATTATCATCCATACTTAAAATTATTTTTATATTCAATATTGACCATAATATGTGATATTTGTCTGTAAAATTCTATAAATTACGAAATAAGAATAAAGAATAAATGCACACACATTTAAATACTGAATATGATTGTTTACGTACACAAGTTATTGTAAAAAATATAAAGTTTACACCATGTATAGGTATATATACATATATATATATACAGTGAGTACAAAAAGTATTCGTACAGAGAAAATATTAAAAAAAAAAAAAATAAACTTTATTTTAAAAAATTAAATATTATCCAGCGAGAAATAAGTCAAATTGATGTCGAATCGATACGATGATTTCAACACCAATTTAACGTCGATTCGACTTTTAATTGATGATCATTTCTTGTTGAATAATTAAGAATTTATTTATAAAGAATAAAATAGACTGTATGTTTCTTAAAATTATATATACCAAAAAGATGTGCATTAATTATAGAAAATATATCATCTGAAAAATAAACGAAAAATTTTATTGTTTGGATGCTCAAAAAGTATATGTACAGTCGAGAAATTTAGCTTCTAATATCAGAAATACATGCGAAGCTCACTTGTTTATGTTAGAACAGAATGTATTTATTGCATAAAATTGCTAATTAATGTTTAGTTTCTACAAAAATAAGACTTTTTTTATAAAAAATTTTCTTATGCGAATACTTTTTACTCTCACTGTACATATATTTCCAGCTGCGTTATATTATACCAGCTCAACGTGATCATTAATTGCACCAAACAAGGTTCTTACTATGAACATACCGATTCCATTGATTCACCGCGGCTAGTAATTATGCTCTATTTATGTCTACGTAATTCACACCTGCAGCTTTCTCATTTTCTTAGAGATACGTAGCTTGTATACCAAATAGCCTTGAACCTTAACACGCGTAGCTAGTGTCAGTGACGGATTTACGCACGACGCATGATAGATCTTCGGGATACCTACGGGATGATTGTATTGAGTAGCAAATAAAGGGGACATTGAAAAAAGAGGTGTAGAGACTTGTAAAGAGAATGGTAGAAGCTGAAGAGTCAGGAAAAGATGTATACAACTTACAAGGATCCCTTTAATTGCGACGTGTCATTGCAAAGGGAGTTTGGATGATGTTGTTAGTCACGAAGAAATCCATAGAGTACAGTTAACGAGCGTCATGTAAATTTTTATATTGTAACATTATACTACGCGTTATTAATTCAGCGCCAAGTTTATATTGTACTTGCAAATGAACATTTTTTACTTTATAAAAAAAATACTAATTGCATATATAAGCAACCAACTATACAGCCAATTATACTCATGTAATATTATATATATTACGTATACACACACACACATATATATATATATATGTATAATATATCACATAAATTAATTATACATTTAAAGATTACATATATAATTTACATTAATTTCCCTAAAACATATAGTGCAAATTAAAAATATTTTACATTTTCATAAAGATTATATTATATACTTATCCTTTAAATAAATATATAACTAAATTTGTAGAAATAATTAATGATGAATTTTATCTATTTTAACCCGCGATAATTTTATTCCAAATTTTAAAGAAGAGAGTCTAAAGATTCTTTTAAATAAAAAATTATTCAAGAGTGAAATCTTTCTACTGAAGATACACTTATGTTGAATTGTACATATTTACAAGTACGCAATATTTCAATGATAATAACATGTCATAATAATCAATGCAGTTATTTTAAGAGGAATTCGTCTTATGTCTTGATTTCATTGAACACTGCAAGATTGTATTATATTGTATTGCTGAATAATAGAATATCCTGATTTGAAGAAAAATTTATCTGATAATTTTTTTCTAATAATATATATTTAATATAAATAACTGATGTAAACGGGAATATATAAATCCTATTATTATTCTTTTATAAAAATATTTAAGTATTTTAAAAGCACATTTCCTGAATGGAAGATATGTTTCTTAACATAACGTTTAGTGAATGTCCTTTCAGTAATTGTTGCAATTTATTCCGGATTCTGTATGACTTCTCATCATTCCGACGCCACTGTACATACACCAGTACACATATCGGTAGAGAGGGCAAAAGTGGAATTGGCGGGAGAAGAAACGACCTTGCTACTTTCCGCGGCAAGGTTGCACTTAGGCCGTACGCATGCTATCATAACAGCTCAGGTTCACTGTACTGCATCATCGCCCGCAGACTGAGATATTACTATTTCCTTCGTCACGGTGTAACAGGTTGTGTCTCGATTAGCTTTTGCTTCTGTCTGAATGCACATCACATAAGTTGTAATTTTGAGCACTTACTTGAAGACATTTTCCAAAGCAAGCTTTATATATAATATTTGCTAGTGCAACTTATTAACAATTTCGAAAAGTCTAATTTTGCGTTACAAACATTCGATACAATGTTATCGGTATGTCCTCCAACTGTTCGGTTCTGAATAAAAAATAATAATCGCACGTCACTTATCCTTCATTATCCATAAGAAATGCTTGCGATGAATCAAATCGAACGTCGACCGCGCAAAGGACGTATAGACTCAAGGATCGGGAAATGTACACTTATATTTTCTGCCAATTTTCTATTATTACGGCGTTATCAGCGATGTTTGGCGACAAGGTTGACTATAGATTACTATTTCTTAAAACATGTTCCACGCAATTAACAAGCATCTGTGTCGAGAATTCCAATAATCGTTTTTAATTCGAGGCCAAGCTTCGTTTCACGCGTGAAGTTACTCGAATTGAAAAAAATGATTTTCAAGATAAAAATCGAGAAAGCATCTACATATTATGCGATTCAAAAAGATGTACTTCTAAAATTAATTATATTTTGAACTGTATCAGATCTATAATTAATTCATAATAATGTTTTATTTTTAAGGATCATGCAAATTAACGGTGAACTATGTACGTTGAAGGAAAGAATATTCTTATAATGCAAAAAGAGTGTCGTTGTGAAGTACATAATTATATATCTTTATTATTCTATAAAAAGCCTCTCTCTCTCTCTCTCTCTCTCTCTCTCTCTCTCTCTCTCTCTCTCTCTCTCTCTCTCTCTCAATTTGCAATCTTATCATCAATCTTTCTGATAAATGATAAGTCAAGTAATAATTTATTGCCTTTAATGGGGCGATCTCAAACTTGTCAAACTTGTTGGGGTACGGCTTTTAATAACGATATTGAGTGACACTCAACCACTATTAATTAGATTATCGGCTCTTTACGATCGATCGATTATCCAGACTAGTAAATTTCTTGTCATTTTCATAAACAGTTCACCGTTAAATCTTTAAAGAATGAAAGAAGAAGAAGAAGAAGGTGTGCAATAACTGTCGATAATTACAAAGTTAATTAATGTAATCTGAACGCTATTATGTTAATTTTTTCTGAAGTCCTACTCTAAAGATGATAAAGATATTTTCGATAGTGCGATTAAAAAAAGCACACATTTCTGTTTTGCATTTCTTTATCGCACTGACATTTGCTATTAGAAGCATTTAGGGTCGTAATGTCTAATTTGATTTTTTACAGTTCATCTACAAATAAGTTAAATATTATCTATTTAATTAATTTTATTTGTTTCTCAAATTTAAAAAAACTCTTTTTCTAAACAGATAAACTTAAGAGTCGTAATGTAAATACATGCTTGAGTAAGCGCTTGGGTAAAGCCTTTTACGCTTGATCGAAGTTGCAGAAATCAAATACTTATCGCGAACATTTAACTCGCGATAAGCGTTTGATTTCTGCAATCTCCGATTACAAACTTCCTTTATCCTCTAGATATACCTTAGAGATGCAAGTTAAATATGTATACTATTTATAATAATAATCAGTACGTTAATGAACACTTAATGTTTTGTGAAGGTATCGGATAACGTTATCACTAATTTTCCCATTTTCAGATTGCTCTAATAAAAGAAACGCAATATGTACGATTCGATTTACATTTAAATCGAGTTACCGCTATGATGATACATATACTAATGTCAGTGATTACATTAGTGAAGGCAAACAAACTGAAAGGCCAATTGCATCTAGATTACTTTATGTGATCAAAAATAGCATTTTACTATGACGTGTTAATTCTCGAATGGTAATACATGAACAATAATTAAATAGTTTCATGTATTTGCATGTTTGAGAACTTATGAAAGATTCGATATATAAATTCTGTCGGCGTTGCGCCGCATGAAAGAGAAAGAAAGAGCGAGAGAGGGGGGAGGGGGGCGAAAGGGAGAAAAGGAAGCCAGTTAATTCCGCAATGTCGATTCTTACCAGTCGAGATATCCATCGGCGAAGGGCGGGTTAATTGCACGACAAACCGCGGAGATACGCTGGACACGTTGTCCTTGAAATGCGTCCGAGGCTGCGAGTTCGTTTAGATTTAATTCCCTGAAGTAGCAACAACAACAGCAACAGCAGCAACAGCAACATCACCACCAGCAACAGCGGCAGCAGCAGCAGCAGCAGCAGCAGGTGGTAGACCTGTTTGAAACGGTTTATAAATAAACCATGTTACCCTCTTAACAGCCTATCATTACTTGCGCGTATCTTCGAACCGTCTGGCATTTATATCCGCAGCTTAGGGTATCCGTTTACACTTTGATAGTAAACGATAGTAACAGCCGAATGGCTCCTCATTATGCTTTATGCACGTAGCGATGCGCCGCGCAACAAAATGTATCTGCAATACTTTACGATAGACAACGTGGAATCTTGCGCAACGTTAATTGCCCATAAAAGAGATGAATAAGGAATAAACATACGTTTGTAGTCGCAATAATAAATGACAGGACCAAACTAAAATACTTATTGATAATAGCCAAAGGGTGCGTAATTACTCTCATATTACAAAATGCAATTTCTCTGTAAAGAACCATGTGTAACGAGTTTGAGAATTATAACTAGCAAATAAAAATTTCTTTTTCGATTAAACTAAACTTTGCTTATTTTCTTTGGAATTTGCATTTTACACACACACACACACACACACACACACACACCTATAAAACTAAGCGCGGTTAAATTCTATTAATGTTTTTTCTGATCTATTATTTATTTTGCATTCACTAACATTGATGTTCAGCATGCAAAATAGATTGCACGCTCTTTCGCATAATCGTAAACACGCCTGTGATTGGAAGCAATGACCACGTGGAATAATCTTGATTAGCATTCAGTGAACGATCAACGATGTAAACGGAGCCTACAACATCGCACCAAAAAATGTTTCATTCAACGCTGCGAAAATTTCTCCAAGTATACCGTATTACAATGTAGGTTATTCACACGAATTTAATATGGTAATATAACAAAATATTAGCTGTATCAATTGCAGCGTACATTAGATAAAAGTTTGAAAATTGCGCTGTTAAATGCTTTCTAAAGATTATAAAAAGTATGAAATAAATTGTATGAAACAAATTTTGCAACGCACGATTGGCATGACAATGAATTCACAATCTGAACGTAACGTCACGGTGAAGTTATGGATACTCTGCAAGAAGGCGTAGTTTGATGTTACGTGATTATCGCGTAATAACATTCTTTTCACTAAACGAAAAGAAAAGATCATCAAACGAGATTGAAACAGGTTTAAATTATCCTCTACATAGAATATTACCGCATATCTCTTTTCAGTAATAAAACTTTTTACTTTTGTTTAGATGTTAATGATAATTAACATTTAACAAAAAATTTTGAATTAATAATAAACTATATCCCTATATCATCGCCTATAGCGACTTATGCTAGCATTTATATTTCCTGTTGCATAGATCTCACAATTAGTTTCTCACCGTTGCTCGTAGTTTCCATCTTGATAAACAGCAGCGAACTGCATATACTTCATCAATAGAGCTGCAGATAGTTGAAGAAATAAGATGCACATGATGACGTTTTTTTATGGAAGCTTTAACATGCTTTAAGATGCTTTCTTATCGGATAAATTAAAACAGAAGTGGATAGCCGTTCTTCAAAACAGCAGGGTCAATAACCAAGATAGTTAACATACACGGTTAGACTTATAAATTGTTTGGCAAAAAAAAAAACCAACATTTCTTCTGAAATCTAAACATAATATATGTAATAAATAAATTGTGATTACGTCATCATGTTTTTATTTTTTATTGTAAACTGTTCTTCCAAATTCAGTTCCTTAGATTTCATCTATGTAACATATTTATACATACGTATATGCAAATAATCTAACAGTTCTGTTAATGGATAGAATGAATATAAATATGTGGGTAATAAGTATAATATATTCAAATTTTCATATCGCTCGTTATTTATAGACATGATCATTTTAAAAATCCAGATCGTGTTTTATTTATAGTACAATGAAAGGTTAATGAAAGTATTATAAAAACTTTCGTTGAAAAAAACTTTCAATTAAAAAATTAAAACTCTTAACTGTCGATAATTAATAGAAAAAAGTTTTCGTTTATCAAGCAGACTATGATAATTTGCTTAATGATATTTGCGAAATTTATCTTAGATTCTTCATTAAAAATTTGTACTTTAAGAAATATTGTCAGTTAATCCTTTATTTTAACAAAATTTATATTTTTACATTATAATGATTAATAATTTTATTATATTTCTGATTATAGATAAAGTTGGATATATACACAAAAGATGTGGAAAGTTCAATCGACTTTGAGCATTTTCACAGTATTGCTCATAATAAGATTTACAAAAGCTGGTGAGAACTATTTATTTATTTTTTTAATAAATGATATTAGACCGCATTGTGAATATACAAATAAATATTAAATAATATTTCAATGCGAATTTATATATATCAGTTCTATAACGAGCGCCGAAATAATTTTCGATTTTAGAATGCAATCTTAAAACTGAAACTGAGATAATAATATCACAAATTAAATTGGCAAGTACTTTAATGATACTGATGCTAATAAGTATCTTAAACAGGTATAAATAATTTATTGTGAAAAATTAGAACTGGATATGTATAGAAATTCACATCAAAATATTATTTAAGTATTAAAATGTGTTTAATCTTTCTTTATTTTAATCTTAATTTATTTAAAAAAAATTAATATAAGATAAATTTTTTAATATGTAAAAATTATATGACAATATTTAGCCTAACTTAAATTTGAGTGTTTATTAAATCTTATTGAATTGCAGATTATTACGAGTATAATCAAGATCAATACCGACAAAGTAATGCTCCTTTTAAATGTATAGAAGAGGGTTATCATCCCGATTCGCATGACTGCAGAGTTTACTATAGATGTGTAGATTGGGGCAACGGCAGCCCGTTAACGACTTTCAAATTTGAATGCGGAGTAGGCACAGTGTTCTCGAAGGATAAGGGAGACATTTGTACGCATCCAGAAGATAGTGGTCGACCTGAATGTGGCAGCTCCGAGAATGAACTCGATTCGAATATACAAGATCCTCCTTCTCCTACATGGACAACAACAATACGAACAACTATGTGGTCACAATCAACTATGATACAGTCCCCAATAACTAAACCATCTACAATCACGACTGAAGCTGCGACAACAATAAAAAAACCAGAAACAACAATACTACCACCACTAACAAATCGACCACCTATAGACGAACCGGATAATAACATTGTTAATTGTCAAAATGAATATCAAACATGTACACAAGAAGGATTTTTAGCCGATACTTGTGATTGCAAAAAATTTTACAGATGCGTAAACGAAGGGTACGGAAGGTTTACAAAATATGAGTTTAAGTGTGGCGATAAAACTGTTTGGGATCCAGAAATTCAAGCATGTAATCACGCTTGGGCTGTTACGAGGAAAGACTGTAGGCAGAATTTGGAAACTGGGAATAATAATGGACAATGGAACGGTGACACTGGAGACAACAGTGGACAATGGAATGGTGATACTGGTAGTCCAGGGCAACCAGGACAGCCTGGAGATCCAAATGGTCAACCAGGACAACCTGGAGATCCAAATGGCCAACCAGGATCATCGGGTAGCCCAGGCTTTCCGGGATCCCCAGGAACACCGGGTTCTCCAGGCTCTCCGGGATATCCAGGGACACCAGGTTCACCGGGTAGTCCAGGCTCTCCGGGATACCCAGGAACACCGGGTTCTCCAGGCTCTCCGGGATATCCAGGGACACCAGGTTCACCAGGTAGTCCAGGGTCGCCAGGATACCCAGGAACACCGGGTTCTCCAGGTTCTCCGGGATATCCGGGAACATCACCGGGTTCTCCAGGCACTCCAGGTTCTCCAGGTAGTCCAGGCACTCCAGGTAGTCCAGGGTCTCCGGGATACCCGGGGACACCGGGTAGTCCAGGCACTCCGGGATACCCAGGAACACCGGGTTCTCCAGGATCTCCAGGATATCCGGGAACATCACCGGGTTCTCCAGGTACTCCGGGTTCTCCGGGTAGTCCAGGCACTCCGGGATACCCAGGAACACCCGGTTCTCCAGGCTCTCCAGGATATCCGGGAACATCACCGGGTTCTCCAGGCACTCCGGGTTCTCCGGGTAGTCCAGGCACTCCGGGATACCCAGGAACACCCGGTTCTCCAGGATATCCGGGAACATCACCGAGTTCTCCAGGCACTCCGGGATACCCAGGGACACCGGGTTCTCCAGGCACTCCAGGTTCGCCAGGTAGTCCAGGCTCTCCGGGATATCCAGGAACACCGGGTTCTCCAGGCTCTCCGGGTTCTCCAGGTAATCCAGGCTCTCCGGGATACCCGGGAACACCGGGTTCTCCAGGCACTCCGGGTTCTCCGGGTATTCCAGGCACTCCGGGATACCCAGGAACACCCGGTTCTCCAGGTTCTCCAGGATATCCGGGAACATCACCAGGTTCTCCAGGCATTCCGGGATACCCAGGGACACCGGGTTCTCCAGGCACTCCGGGTTCGCCGGGTAGTCCAGGCACTCCAGGCACACCGGGTTCTCCAGGCTCTCCGGGATATCCGGGGACACCGGGTTCTCCAGGCACTCCAGGTTCGCCGGGTAGTCCAGGCTCTCCGGGATATCCAGGAACACCGGGTTCTCCAGGCTCTCCGGGTTCTCCAGGTAGTCCAGGTTCGCCGGGTTCTCCAGGCTCTCCGGGATACCCAGGCACACCGGGTTCTCCAGGCTCTCCGGGATACCCGGGGACACCGGGTTCTCCAAGCTCTCCGGGATATCCGGGAACACCGGATTCTCCAGGCACTCCAGGTTCGCCGGGTAGTCCAGGCTCTCCGGGATATCCAGGAACACCGGGTTCTCCAGGCACTCCGGGTTCGCCGGGTAGTCCAGGCACTCCAGGTTCGCCGGGTTCTCCAGGCTCTCCGGGATACCCAGGCACACCGGGTTCTCCAGGCTCTCCGGGATATCCGGGGACACCGGGTTCTCCAGGCACTCCAGGTTCTCCGGGTAGTCCAGGCACTCCGGGATATCCAGGAAGACCAGGTTCTCCAAGCAGTCCAAGCATTCCTGGATCCCCTGGAAATCCAGACTCACCGAATTCATCTGTTAATCAACCGTCAACAGGTACGATAACTATATAAAATATTATATATGTGTATACTATAGTTTCACTATTAGTATAATATAAACAAAATCTTATTTTAGGTATTTGTACAGCAGAAGGGTTTTTCTCCGATCCACAAGATTGTCGCAAGTTTTATCGGTGTGTCGATAATGGCATGTCCTCCTTTATAAAATACGACTTTCAATGTGGTGCTGAAACTGTTTGGGATCCGTCCATTCAGAATTGCAATTATGCTAATGCTGTACCGCATTGCAATCAGGCAAATGGTGCAATTACAGATAAACCCGACACATCGCTGAATGAAATAAATAGTACAATTGGACCAGATACAAGTAAATTACCATCGCAATCTCCTGAAAACTCGACTTTGCCACCGACATCTTCAAAACCAGAGATACAATCTTCGGCTCAACCTGATAGCACTACCAGTCCCATTGCACCATCTCAGACGACGTCAACTTCTTATTTGCCACCCAGTAGTACATACTCGTCTTCGACAATGCAAGTTACCGAATCTGTTTCTTATGTTCCTCCTGCACATATGACTACTACATCTGTATCTTATTTGCCACCCTCGACTACTACCAGCGGAATATCTGAATCTACACCCGAATCTGTTTCATATTTGCCACCTGATACTAGTACAACTACTTTGCCAAGTTCTGCTTCGTCAGCTGCATCTTCACCTCAGAATGAAAAATACAAGTGTACTAAAGAAGGTTTCTTTCCGGACCCTGATAACTGCAAACAATTCTATCGTTGCGTTCAAAACCAATCCGGATATCAAAAATACGAATTTAAATGCAGTTCTGGCACAGCATGGGATCAATTAATACAAACGTGTAATTATATTGATAAAGTAGCTTCATGTTCACCAGGTAGCAATGAAATCGATCAAGGTCTTGATTCCAATACTCCTACATCTGAACTTCCTGCCATGAGTAGTTCCACAACTGTTTCTAGTCAAACAATTGCGACTACATCTCCAATTCCAATTTCTACCGAAAGCACTACAACTACCAGTACTCCAAGTGAAACATCAGACAAGACAGAGTCATCATCGACAACAAGTACATCTGTTAGTAGTAGCGAAACTCCCGCTTCAGAAAAACCAGAAGAGATTCAAATGCCTGGTTCTAGTACAGAAAGTTCATCTTCATCCTCATCTGAATCTACTTCTGAATCAAATGAAGGATCATCTTCATCTACATCAGAATCACATACACCAGATTGTGCGACACAAAAGCCGAGCAACGCAATAGTATGCAAGAACGAAGGATTTTATCCGCATCCAACCAGGTGCGATCAATTCTATCGCTGCGTCAATAATGGCAATGGTTTTAATGTATATCATTTTGACTGCCCACCAGGCACTATTTTTGATTCCAGCATCAATGTATGCAATTATCCTGAATCTGTTCAATCCGCAAAAGATTGTACGACTGGAAATATTTCAAGCAATGTAGAATCGACAACTCAATCCGGAACGCCTGAACAATCGACATCAGAGGGAACTGCTACTGTAGCTACACAGAGCACAACTCAGCAAACAGAAGAAAGTACAACGACTGAGCTTGGTACGTCTACTTCAGAAGAAAGCGCTCCTACTTCTACAGAATCAACGACATCAAATATACCAGAGAGTAGCGAAAGTATGATAGAGTCTACGACTGAATCCACTACTGCCACTACAGAAACTGCTATCGATTCTAGCACTTCTGAACAAAGTAGCGAAGCTACAACTGAAGCTGCTGTTTCCACAGAATCCGAAACATCTACGACCGAGTCTCAAAAACAATCTACGGAATCCCAGGAACAATCGACAACTGAAGAATCTCAGGAGCAATCAACAACAGAGTCAAAAGAACCATCTACTACAGAAACTCAAGAACAATCAACAACCGAATTACAGGAACAATCCACGACAGAATCTCAAGAACAAACAACGACTGAATCATCAGAATCGACAACAGCGGAACAAGGAGCACCTTGTTCTATAGGCAATTTAACTGATGATCAAATAACTCTAGTTTGTCCCACTGGCTTCCGAAGGCATCCGAAACATTGTAATCTATTCTATCAATGTAGTTCCGAAGACATGGAAATAAAGATTCTCGTATTGAGTTGTCCCGAAAATACCATTTTTGACGAGAAAAAGATTCAATGTCTACCCGAAAGTGAAAGCAGTCAACCATGCATGGGAACCAAGTCAAGCGCCAGATTTTATAGAAGATTAGAAGATCATGCTTTATCACCTGTAAGTATTTTCAATAATCAATTAAATAAACTAATAACTTATAACAAAAAAATATTCATTGCAAAATGTTTTTTCAATTTTAGGTAAAGGTATCGTCAAATCAGCTTTGTCCGCAAGAAGGACATTTTCCTTATCAACAAGGTTGCAGCAATACCTTTTACAAGTGTAAACGTGATGTCCGAAACAGTTTACAGGGATACCTCTATAAATGTCCTGAAAACTTTGTTTATTGGTCGGTCTCCAGAAGATGCGAACGTGTGACACGTCTCCCGATGTGTTCGCATTTGTCGTACAGAGACAAAATTGATTGGAATGATCGATGGCAAATACCGATCGAAGATTTTAATCTTTCCGCCAGAATGCTACACTTCTCTTGATTGCTTAATGATATTTCCTATATTCTACATTCTTAGTAAATACGAGTTGCAAATTTGCCATAATAATGTCTATAGAAACATATATTTTTTTTAATTAATTGTCATTCTCTATGAAAATGTGGAATAATTGAATATACAGGAAGAATTAACAAAATTACAATATTAGCAAATTAATAATGATGAATTATTGAAAGTAAATATGCTAGAGTAATGTGCTAGTTGCATATTTAAATGAATGATTAATGCAATGTGTGTATGATGTGTTTGTTTATCTTTTTATAAGTTATAAAACATTCCTAAAATAATATTCTAATTAAACTTTTTGCTTATTTTGATGCAAAAAGTTATTTTTGCTACTGCAAAAATATGTATGTATTATTAATTTCCAATAATTTACAATACTTTATGATATTTAACAACATGGCTACGGAAGATCTCGATTAAATTTAATAATAGATCTTCGGCAGTCGTCTTGGATGAATTAGTGTCAAACTGCCATTACTCAATTTTTAGTCAGTAATAGTTATGATAATGAGATCTATTAATAATTATTGACAAATGTGAGTAACTTTGCAATGTATGAATCGAGTACAAGGACAAATTTTCATTATAGAATTGGGGGATTATTTATTTTTGTTAATATGTTATTCAGATTATTATTATTTCGTTATCACTAAATATCAAATGATACAAATTATATATATATAAAAGGAAATATATTTGCAAAAGTAAATACTTTCCAATTTTTATAGAATTATCATTCAGTATCATTATATTTTCAATTACTACTATTTGATACTGGGGATGGTTGCGGGACTTGTATGCAATATTCTGATTGTATAACGCAATATGCTATTTTATATTTATTAACTGAATTTCATATTCCGCATAGAAAATATTCATGAAAGACATCATTAAAAAATGTAAAACTTTGTGCTAAATGTGGTAGCTAGTTGTTTAGGACATATTGTGTAGAAATATTCACGCGCAATGTACACGCGTTTTGTACATATATCTTGACAAGTAATTTCTCGTAAGAAGTTAATGCTTTCTCACGAAGTATTCTAATGCATTTATCAAATATTTATATAGTATATGAATAAATTAAGATCAATACTTGTTCATTTAATTCTGTGTTAAGTTCGTTTGCGTGTTTATATTTGATCTCTACATGAAATTTGTATTAATAAAAATTGTATGTGTGTGATAAGAATCGATATTTTACTTTCCCGTCCTCTTACGTTAAAATACTTTTTAGTTAAAAGTTTTATTTAACATTTCTTCTAAATATACATTTATATGTATATCACCAACCACCATCAATGAGATAAAAATACTCAATAATATTAAAATCACTTTTCTTTATATACGAGTATGAAAAGTTCGAGTTCAAAAAATTTACTGTATGTTAATAACGTGTCTTCTCAGAAACTATCATGGCTAGAATAAGAAGTAATAAATAATCATTAATAATATATCGAGATAACAAACAATTGTATATAGACAGAAAATAATACTCACCCTAAGATTGCTCCGCCGGTGCCTGATCAATGTCTCATCTAGATCCCCTTACAGGACACTCGCGAAAAACACTCGCAAATAATATATACTTAATTATTATTAATAAAAATCTATCGCGCAACACTACATACTCCGTTTATACAAAGTCCATTTTTTTTTAACGTGTATGTCAACGATATATTTATTATTTCCAAAACAAACGCGCGACGAACCAGCTGCCGTTCGCTTATATTCACTTAAATCGGCGAATAGGCTAATAGTTAACGAGGTTAGCTTCTGTCTTAGATTATTTTTACACAGAGAGAACGATTATGTTAAAGTATCTAAAAAGTTACAGACATTAGATATTTTTATATATTTAAGAAAAATTATTCTTTTCGTGTATATCTTCAAAGTACTTAGCCCTCTCATTTCATACCCGTGGGAGGAAAAATATCATCTGAAAAATATACAATATACAAAATTATCTATTACTATCCAGCAAACGAGAATGGATTGAAGTAGATTCAGATCTTCAGAAATATAAAAGATATCAATCAAATGGATCACAGATTAATAAGAAAGAGAAACATTCCTTCTATTGTCGGCTAATGTATTATCATTCCCAGTAAAATAATCGCAACAAATTTAATTTTTTTATATGCAATATCGCGAAAAATGCTTGAAACGAGAAATTTATTAAATTATTATTAATTACACAAACACTCTAGCTGTATTATTTTTGTGCGAGAATAGCGTCGCGTAAAATTTGTATAGGAATATATATTAATATTAAGTTGCATTTTTTGTAACTTAATTGTGCAGAATAGCATTTGATTGATTTCGAAGTATAATTATTGAGAATTATATTCAAGCAAAAGAAAAATTTTATGTTAATAAATATTTTTTACATTTTCAACGAACTCCTTGCTAATTTTACCGATAGTGTGAAAATGGATATAATTACATAGTACCCATTTCGAAAATGAGTATAGTGGCGGTAGTATACGGGCGATTTCGACGAAAATGGCCAAGCTGGCCCCCTCTTTTCTTCTTTTTCTCTTTTATACCATGGATTTTAGATTCAAAAGAGAAAGGAAACCCTCTCAGATTTCTTTCTGCTACAACGCATTGCGCAATAGTGCTTCGGACGCTCGTTCGACTTCGGCATGCGCAAGTCTCGACGAGTCTGGATTTACAATAAGTGTTTTAAGCCTTAAAAAATTGGCCAACTACAGTCGAATGCGAAGAGAATAATTGATTGTGATTCATCCATTCCTTATCGCTTAAGGCTTAAAAATCTATTGTAGATCCGGAGTAATGGAGGAGTATTCAACCAATAGGAGCCAAAATTTCTTTGTCCTCATTGGTAAAATTTCAATCTTTAATTTTAATCTTTAATGCATAGTCTGATTCCGGCCTAAGTTGAATCGAGGTTAAAGTTAATCTACGTTGGTGTAAACGGATATAAATCGGACAAAAAGTTAATCTGGGCCCCCTTCTTGAAAAGTATCGTATACAAAAAACTAGGGAAATACTATAGTATGCGTTACATAGACTATAGTACTTCCCTAGTTTTTCATATGCGATACTTTTCAAGAATAAGGGCCCTGCTCGATTGTCCACATCGGCAATTGGCCATTTAACATTAGAGAGTCGATTGTGTATTTCAAAATAAGGTGAAAATTACAAAAGTGAGCAAAGATTCCTAGGTATTGACCAATTAAATTATGAAAATTCTAGTGAATTTGTTCACTTTTGTAATTTTTACCTCATTTCAAGATACACAATCGAACTCCTGACTTTTTGATTTTTGACCTAGTGGAAAAACTCCATGCACACATACTAGTCACTATGAATGGCTGCGGTGGGAACCAATCGGAATATGATATGGGAAAATGGCCGGTTTCGAACGTGACAGCAATATTGATGTTGCGATTCACGGTTATTTGCATTTCGTTAGAATTGTTTGACAACTCGAGTGAAGATTACTCTCGTTTTTATTATAAAACAAAAAAATTTCATAAAAAATGATTCCAGTAATTATATTTTATAGGACATTATTAAATTAATTAAAATATCAAACTTTAATTTTCATGAAGTAGAATTATATTTCTAACCTATTACATAAAAATCTATTTACATATCGCGAATGTATTTTCTAGGCGTGCGATACTCTGAGAATCCTTCATTTGCCTCCACAACTTTCTGATGAGCGACGCGATGCATTATTACAGAGATATGGTGCGACCAAGACTAAAACGATACGACCATCCAGCAAGTATACAGTCACGTTTGCCAAATTCCTATCTCAACAATTAGCAGCAGAAGCACTGCTGCGTCTGCATCAGTTAAATGTCAGAGGACAATATTTGTCAGTTGAATATGCTAAGAAATCTATACCCACTGAACTTTCGGAGCAAGGCATCCAGCATAAAATATCAGTGAACAGTAACATGAAAATGGAAACTGTTAGTAAGTCTGATGTTCAAGCATTTCTACGGAAATTAAACAATTGGACAATGAATTATGAATTTAGTCAACCACCTCCACCAAATATAAGGTATAAATATATGATGCCGACAAAAAGTACAGTGGCAAGGATAGCTATACAATTGTTAACTCAGCCAGCTTTTTATACACAGGTAAACTGTCGGGTCTTTTTTGTTACAAGATCCTATTTTTATACAACTTTAATTGACATTATTACAGTTGTACGTGTATTCGTAGGTATTACACTTAATGAATAAGATGAATCTACCTCCTCCTTTTGAAGAATTAGAAATGGAATTTCCTATGCTTAGGGAAGTGTATAATATAGAGAAATACAAAGGTATTTAATAACAGAGGATACAGTAGACAGTCAATGTAATGTTACAAATGCTTTAAATAAAAGCATTTTTTGATTACTTAATTAGTAAAACTCATCCGATTGATCAATCACAATGCTACAAAACATTTATAGCGAGACTTCAATCACATCCAGAATAATGAGCAATGATCAGAAAAAAATTAAATAAATTCTTCCTGTTTAGATATATTCCACGAGCGAGTGAATGAAGAGGGATCGGAGGAAGAGGAGTCTGAGTTAGAATCAGATGGAGAAGGTAATACTCGACCTTTGGAAGTTATCCCTGTTAAAAGAAAAAGGCCGCAATCTACAAAACGTATAAAAATTCCAAAGTTTGTGAACCCTGCTAAACACATTCTGATATCTTCATCAACGCAAAAAGTGCTCAAGCCAGAAGATATGTTCGAGTCTGTTCAACGCGGGGAAACTAAAAATCTTAAGATTGAATTGAAAACTCTCGACAAATCATTGGAAACAACATCTGTTAATCGAGATAGTACTGTGACCATAGATGGTGGATTTGGTTTAATATTCCCAGCTAATAAAACTACTGAGGATGCAAAAGACAGTGAAGAGAATGCAGAAATGCCAAAAAATAAATTTATAACTTCAGAGGAATTGGCGACTAATAAGATCTCTGCTAACGATCAAAGATTGCTTCCTGTGTTCAAAAATTATCACCCGGGCAAACTTTCCAATCGCCTCTACATAAAAAATCTTACAAAGCAAGTCGAAATGAAGGATCTACATTATATTTATGAAAGATATGTTATTGCTGGATTAAAAGATACCGAAAATGAGTGAGTATTTTGCTAGTATTATTGTTGCTATTTACAATTTATGTTATCCTATAATGTCTTGATTAACATCTGTATTCTATCTAGATATGATGTACGTCTTATGCAAGAAGGCAGAATGAAAGGACAAGCATTTATCACTTTACAAAATGCTGTACAGGCAAAAATGGCTCTCGAAGAAACGAACGGATATATATTAAAAGATAAACCTATGGTTGTGCAATTTGCTAAAACTAATAGAAGTTAACATACATCTTTAATCTAATCTTAATAACTTATTTCATATCATAATTAAAATGTTAATTTAAAGATTTTGCTTAGAAAACAAATTGTTGCAATAAACAATGCAAACGTCCTTACATCAGACTTAAAGTAGTTCTACGTCAGTTTTATTCAACAATTAACAATATCTGATTTATATATTTCATTTGAGTAAGCATCCAACGTCATCTAAAATGTAAACTTTGATAATGACTTGTTTTTAAAGAGCAACAAATCTTGCGATTCTTTAAAAGTCCGGCGCAATTTATCTGAGCTAATAAATGTTAAAGGAACGGGACGAAAAAAAGTATAATTAAACCAGAATACCGATTAATACTTGTTTACGGCTTCTGAGTAGTCACCACAGTCATATTGAATCGTGAGAACGTCAGAAGCGAGAAATGATATGTTAATTTTTATTACATGCTATTTATAAATGAAGACAATTTGAATAAAACAAAATGGTGAGATTGCTTTAAACTATTTGTAAAAATGGACAAAAACTGTGTTCATTCCTCCCCCCCCCCCCTTCTGACAATCAGTAAAGGCGCGTGTGAAAATAAGCTACGCATGTACATTGAATAAAAGCACTTCATGTGTCTTTCATCACTTTTTACCATTATTTACTAATTGTCAGACGAGATAAGCACAGTTTTCAATTCATATTTACAAATGTTTTAAAGCAATCTCATCATTTTGTTTTATCCAAATTGTCTTTATTTATAAATGACACGTAATAAAAATTAACGTAACTTTATCATAATCATTATAAGATGAAAATATTGTTGAACGTGCAATTTTATATATTTTATATGACAAAATAGTAGAACAAATAGTCGTAAACATTTAACTTTTTTTTTTACCGGCTCAGGCAGTAAGCTGGAGCCAGCTTGCTGCCTGAGTCGATAAAAAAAAGCTAAATGTGTACGACTATTTGTACTGCTATTTTGTTATGATAGTACGACATAAGTATTACTATTTCTATAGATTGGTACTACACTGAATCAGGATTGCCAAGAAGGGTGTCCAGCGCTTTCGTTACCTTGGCGAATATTTCATCGACTGTTCCTTCCGCATTAATCTGAAAGGAAATTAATTAATTTATAATTTGTAGGATACGCGACGGTTGAGAATGAAAAAAATATATTACATATCTGAACTCACTCTTATAACTTTGTTTTCGTAATGTTTGACAATCTCGTTGTTTTTTGCATTAAATATCTCGATTCTTTTTTTTATTGTCTCCTCATTATCATCTGCCCTTTGGGACACAGCAGCACGCCCAAGGAGTCTCTTCTTCATAGTATCATTCGCTACATCGAAGAAGAGAATTAAGTCGACAGGACAAACCTGTGCAGCAACATAATGATAATTTAAAGCAGAAGATATATATAGTAAAGAGAAAAGGACTAGCTTACCTTTTCCTCGAAGAGAATTCCTTGATCCTTCTCACGAGGATAGCCATCGATAAGAAATCCAGTCTTTGTGGTTCCTTCCGCACGAGCTTTATCCATCTGTTCCTTTATGAGTTCCAGCACAATGTCCTGGCAAAACCACATGATCTTCACACTGAGAAAAACTGAGTTTGTTCGCGTAAGACGCGCGATATATATTTCTCTTTCTATTTTTTTTTTTTTTTCATTCTTTCAGCGCATACACAATTTCGATTTTCGGTCTTATATTTTTAATAATCATATTTATATTTTTTTATTACAGAATTTATACATATTTATATAGTTAAAAAATTAATGTAAATGCAAGTTAATTAGTTCTTGAATGGTAAAACCAATTAATGGAAATTTGCATATTACATACCGTTGGCACAAATAGTCCCTTGGACATCAGATCCTGAAGCGCCGCACCTCTTTCGCTGCCACTAGCAACTTCTGCTCTCAGTAAATCACCACTGCTCAAGTGAAGAAATCCATACTTTTCAATTATACGATCACATTGCGTTCCTTTGCCGCATCCCGGCCCACCAATTACCCAAATTGTTTTCATCTTCTCTGTATAACTTTCCTCTCCCCACAGCAAACACTAGACTAAAAATGGTGGACTATTTAAGTTTTCAGGAAAATCCAAGGGAGAAAGATTAGGAGATATATGTATATACAATATTTTCAATTAAAATTGTTGACTGACTCAAATGTGCTAATTTCAAATACTTTTTTAAATAATGAGTTTACAGATTTTTCAATTTTAAGGAACTTTCACATATAGTATATACATAAATGACTGATAAATTCATTTTTTTTATACGGGGTGTTAAAAAAAATCATTCAGCATTTCGAATGATTTCATTGAATACCCTACATTACGTACTTTCCTTTTTTATATTCATCGTTGTATGTTTTTATATTTGTATTTTACTTGTTTAATTATATTTGTTCATTTACATTTAAAGAATTTTTTTAATTTCTTGTGTGTATTGAAAATTCAAAAGATCTTTTGACATCCTAAACAATGTGAACCCCCGAGTAAAATTTCAAACGCGTATCGATTTCTCGCACGATTGTCCCCCACGAGACGCGCCTGCGCCCTCGAAAAAGCTCGTTGACATTTCCGGTACCTCATCACCTTGAACTTTCTCCAAATGTCTCACGGAGCCAAGTATAAAAGTGAAACATGAAAAATCGACTTCTTGTTTCCCTCGATTTATTTGGTGTTACCAAATAAAACGAACACATTAAATCACAAACTTTGTGAAAGCTTATTCTCATAAGCTTGTTTTCTAATTTAAATGAAAGAAAGTTGGAGAACAGGTTAAATTACAAAAATTGATTTCAAACACTTGCAAGAACCATTCTGACACAAACGATGATAATTTTAGCAATATCGGCCGATTTCGAGTGCGATTTAACTCACTCCTCGTCTCCGTTTGATTCTGGTCGAGGAAGAAAAAATAAATTGGCAACGGTATTGAAGCTTCTCGGTAAACCCGCCCGCGTATCGATTGTCGGGGATGTAGAGTTCAATGCAGAAACGTATGAGCGCGATAGAAGAGCGCGGGAATGACTGAAGAGCATTCGGCCCCGATCAAGTCGTTTTTCGGGATTACGTGATAATAGAGCTGCGTATTACACAATATCATAGGAGACAGAGACCTATACAAATATAGTAACGCTTAAAAATAAACCTGTGGCGAATGTAGGAACCCGTCTGTGTTGCAGAAGCTATAACTTACACTCTGGATCGCGCTTTACGTAACCGAAATATTAACAGTGTTAGAATGAGCCTTCGTGTTACATATAATTTCTAGAATCACGCAAATGAAAATTATCGTCACGTTAATTAATGCGATTTGAGTAAGGAATGTGAGAAAAGTTAACACATATACTTCTCGTGTAAGAGATTGTAAAATATGAATTACGAAAGAAATCGTTCGCTTAAATACCTCACTTTCTGGATGCGACTAATTGTGGGTGTTGCACATATATACGATGCAAATAACACAATTTTTAGACCCACGATCTTTCCCACGTAGCGTAATCGAACGCTAGATAAGATCAGTTTTTGAGAGAATAATTGTCGATCGAGTATCTTGAAGTATTTCAAGGATACGAGCGCTTCCTGAGGATGAGTCACTTCCTGAAAACATCGCGATGCAAATTGCGAGGCGGACGAGAAATGATATAAAGTCCGTGTTCCAAAATTCACTGTCAGCGCTGAAAATCTATAGTTTACGTCGCGCGTATTATACATTTTTAGCACTGGCAGTGAATTTCGCCATACTTACGTTTGTTCCTTCGCACATTTTTAGCGTCAAAACAGACGACATGATAGAAATTGACGATTATCAAGACGTCAGTTTTGATCACGTGATCTATTTTGACGCTGGAAATTAACGTCAGCATGAAAAGGTTTTTTTCCTTACATCTGTCACGTTTTGTCAAGGTGTATCTTATATATTTTAAAATAAAGTGAAAATTACATAAATGTGCAAATTTAATAGAACATTTATGATTTCATTGGTCATTATCTTGTAAATTTGTAATTTTGATTTCGTACATTTAAGGTACACAATCGACTCCCTGATTGGCTATCTGAGATGAAAATTGGACAAAATTGGTAGGAGCGGGGGGGGGGGAGCGCTATCGCAATTTTATACGATGCTCTAACCTCTCGAGAACGCATGTTTTTTGCTTGACATCATCGTCATCCTGTCGGCAATTGCGAAGCGTTAAAAAATTGATTCGCGGATAGCGCGTGTGATAAGAACTTTTGGTTGAAAAAAGAAAAGTTCCGAGATGGTAAGCTTTAATGCGAGAAACGCGAAAGTGTCATTAATCGCATCTATGAACTTTATCCATGTCGATCGTCGATCTCGTCTCCACGAAACACTCTCGAAACGACGCCTCGTGCATTATCTCGTGCCTCGCTTTTATATTTAATATATGCTCTTCGCTTTTATGATCGCTGCTTTTATTTAACATCACGTTCTCTCTTGGCAAGGGATACCTCACCAAATCAAAAGAGATATTCAGATCTCGCAGCTTTCGCGACTCGTCGCAGCCATCATGTAATCTGTTCTCTGGCTCGATTTTATAACCTTATATGGAAACTTATTTCGCGCTAAATCCTCCCCAAAAGAATTTGGACAAAAATTCGGGATATAAAATGTCTTAAAGATACTTTTTCGAGAATTGTGTAAAAGATATAAGACATTTTGAATTTGACGTTATTTGAATTTATTCTTGTTTATTAATTCCAGCAATCTTATGTTCATTTTTGCCAATAAAAAGGTTAACTTTAATTTTTAATTAATTTAATTTTGTTCCTTATCCTTTCTCAATTCTTAGAACTAGAAAGAGATAAAAAATAGGTTAAACCATGATTAAAGTTACTCTATATTGTGGTAGAAATGAGCATCAATGTGTGATGTAGAATGTAGATCTATGAATGACGTAGATTCCGATCTTCGTTTTTCTTATCGTTCAATAACTTGGCTTCAATTACAATTCTTTATAATTTATTTTTATAAACAAAAAAAATATTGGTGTCAGAAATGGGAAAATATGCGAGGGTATCTATGTACTTAAGTTGAAATGATTTAAATGTATCTATCATTGAATTTTTCTCTTATTGATTAAATGCAGCAACCTCAAATAATCCTACTGAAGGAAGGCACGGATACGTCTCAGGGAAAGCAACAAGTTATATCCAATATAAATGCGTGCCAGATAGTCGTAGATGCCGTTAGGACTACTCTAGGTCCTCGCGGTATGGACAAGCTCATAGTCGATCAAAATGGAAAGGGCACTATATCCAATGATGGTGCTACCATCCTGAAATTATTAGATATCATTCATCCTGCTGCTAAGACTCTTGTGGATATTGCAAAATCACAAGACGCTGAGGTAACAATTATTTTGTCATTAACATCGCATCCTTTGAAAACAATAGCAATATTTAGGCCGACGTGTTTTTTATAACACGTCGACTTGGAATAACGCAACAAGAATAACGTTATACTGGCAAAAATTCAGAGGATATATCAACTATATCTAGAACGTATAGACTGACAATTTCTTAAAGATTTGTAATTGTTTCACAAGCGTTCAAACAAATTTTATACGAAGGTAAAATAGGGTCAGCAAAGAAAAAAGAAATTATTGATTGAATATATTCTTTAATTATTTAACAGGTTGGAGATGGCACAACCAGCGTAGTTTTGTTGGCAGGAGAGTTTTTGAAACAAATGAAACCGTTTATAGAAGAGGGCGTACATTCGCGTATAATAATCAAAGCTCTTCGTCGCGCGCTTCAGATAGCTAAAGATAAAATTAATGAGCTAAGTGTCAAATTAGACAGACGCAATATAAACGAACAGATTGAGCTTCTGGAGGCATGTGCAGCCACAGCTATGAATTCCAAATTGATACATCAACAAAAGAATCATTTCAGTCAATTGGTTGTCAAGGCTGTCATGAAGCTAGATGAATTACTTCCTCTTAATATGATTGGTATTAAAAAGGTAAGCATATATGATCTTATATTTTATGAAAGATTTTAACATGCTGGCGTAATTAATTTTTGAGTGTAACATATTTAGATTTCTGGAGGCGCGCTGGAGGATTCGGAGCTGATTGAAGGAGTGGCCTTCAAAAAAACCTTTTCATATGCCGGATTCGAAATGCAACCGAAAAAATATGAGCAATGCAAGATTGCATTACTGAACATTGAGCTGGAATTAAAGGCCGAACGAGACAATGCCGAAGTGCGCGTGGACAATGTGTCAGAATATCAGAAAATTGTCGACGCGGAGTGGCAGATTCTCTATGATAAGCTTGATCAGATTCACAAGAGCGGTGCGAAAGTAGTATTATCCTCGTTGCCGATCGGCGATGTCGCAACGCAGTACTTCGCGGATAGAGATATGTTCTGCGCTGGTAGAGTACCTGACGAGGATCTCAAGAGGACGATGAAGGCATGCGGTGGTGCAATCTTAACAACGGTGCACGACATAAAGGACTCTGATCTCGGAAGTTGTCAGACTTTCGAGGAAAAGCAGATCGGTTGCGAGAGGTAATTAAATGATATCCATCATTCAACAATATCGATTGTAAGTCGATTGAGTCTGACATGATTTATAATTGTATCATTAGATTCAACTTCTTCTACGAATGTTCGCGAGCGAAGACGTGCACGTTTATCTTGCGTGGAGGTGCGGATCAATTTCTAGAAGAGACGGAGAGATCCCTTCATGACGCGATCATGGTCGTCAGACGCATGATAAAAAATGATGCAGTGGTTGCTGGCGGTGGTGCCATCGAAATGGAACTCTCCAAGACTTTACGCGATTACTCACGTACTATTGCTGGAAAAGAGCAACTTTTGATAGGAGCGATAGCGAGAGCTCTCGAAGTTATTCCGAGGTACGTTTGCTTTAAGATAACTTTCAATAAGTTACCTTTAAAACAGAGATTTAATTTTTTTAGAGAGAGATTCACTCTAAAAATGTTTAAGTATACATTGTGTTTTTATTCTTTGAATTTTTAATCCTTTAAGGACAGCGTCATTTATTTACTCTGTTACCTTCGGAATTTTGAATCTTTTTTTTTTATCATAATGAAAAAATATCTAAAATGGAAATAAAAATTTTTCACTATAAACTTTTTGTTATAATACAACTTTTGTACAATATAACAAACAGAGGAGCAGAAATCGAAAAATTTTTCATTTGATAGACAACTGTTTGTTCAGTGCCTCAAATATATTGTATATTGTACATAAACGCGCGCGTGCGTTTACAAGATGTAATAATTAATGAGAAATATCGATTTCAGGCAATTATGTGATAACGCTGGATTTGACGCAACAAACATTCTGAATAAATTGCGCCAGAAGCATCATAAAGGTTTGCAGTGGTACGGCGTTGATATAAATTCAGAAGATATCACGGATAACATGCAGTACTGCGTCTGGGAGCCGGCAATAGTGAAGATCAACGCATTGACTGCCGCTACAGAAGCCGCCTGTCTCATCCTTTCTGTTGACGAGACTATCAGGAATCCTAAGAGCAGCCAAGATGGCCCGCAACCTCCAATGGGACGTGGCATGGGCAGACCGATGTAATCTGTTTGTCTACTTAATTTCATCAAAACTAGAGATATCCTATGACACAGTCTGGCCACGAGCGATTTTGTCAAAATCCTCCGAGAGAGAGTAACTCTCTAAAACTTGTAGAGTGAATATCACTTTCAAGACTGGCTCAATTTTCACTCTTTAGAGTGAAATTCCACTCCAAAGAATAGTAGAGAATAGATATCATTTCTCGTATGTATGTTGTGTACTATCTCACTCTAACTCATACTGTTTCACTCTATGACTTTAATTACGATTATAGAGTAAGATAGTATATATACTACAGAGAAGAAATTGTATATGTCTTTTTCTCATATATTTTTGACAAAATTGCTTGTGCCCAGACTAGAATATTGGATCTCTAATCAAGACTATCTATAAAAGAACTATATAATGTGAAATAAAAGCATAGTTTATAAATGCGAGCATTATGTCGCATCTTTGCAGCCTTGTCTCTCGATATCTTTTGTACATGCTAATATTTATAACGAATCACAATGAGTTAACGGATTATTTCCTGTTTAAAATAAAAGCTTATTGTTCCTTAGACATGCAAAAGCACGTGTATTCACGAAAGTTTACATAAATAAATGTTAAGTGTCCTTAATTTTTTCCATCCATATTTATGTCTTCTTACCGAATACATCGAAATTCTTAAACTTTTTATCCCATTTTTCTTTCAAATTTTCGCGAATGATCGAAATTTTGAAGCACGGATTTCGTACAGTCGACAATTCGATTTCTGACATTTCTACAGGGTGTCCCAAAATTCGCGCTTTTAGAGTGCAGGATAAGATACTTTATGCTAAAACAACTTTTTCCTTTTGCAAAATTGCGTCTGACAAGTAGTTTTGCAGAAGAGCAGGTTGAAGTTACACGAATAAAGACAAAAATTATTTAACGAATGTAATTTTACTACAGAAAAAAGTACCGTTGTTCGTTTTAGCATAAAAAAACAAGTTTTTTCTTTATCAAAATTCCGTCCGATAAGTTACGAATAAGCGCAATTATCGGACGCAATTTTGCTAAAGGAAAAAGTTTGTTTTAGCATAAAGTACTCCGAAAGCGCTAATTTTGAGACACCCTGTATAGCTATTTGAATTGTTGCATGTTAAGTGTTTTTAAAGAAAGAAGAAGATAATTCGATTTGTACGATCAATAAAGATTCTCGTTCTTTCAATTTTTTAATCTGCGATTCCGAGAATCGTTTACAGAGGCGCTAATTACTTCTTGTCAAGATATCCACTACTCCTCCGATGAGGTAAATTCGGCCTTTGAGATTCAAATACGGCAGACTGTGATCGCAAAATAAATTAAAAGAGCGGACAATTCTACAGAAGATTCCAAAGAATATTACAAACTAAGTTTATTTTTTTCGTATATAGATTCGCTTATAAATTCTTTGAGCATTAGATTTTCTGAAGAAAATACAAATATTTTCAACTATTTTCGTTTATATCCATCCACGTTCAAAACCATAACCCGTGAGCAATGCAACTAGTTGGAGATTGATAGGAGTAATGACTTACTTAATGAAGGTATTGTGTGGCACAAAATAAAGTACAGGACACTGATATATTTACACTGGACGACATGCTTACTGCTGCTAAATTTGTACTCAAAATTCAAGCCATGCTTCTTAAATCGTTATCGTTGCCAGTCACGGCAGTAACAATAGAAAGATTGTTCAGCACTTTACGGCGAATTAAGATATGATTGCGTTCAACAATGTCTGAATCCAGAAAAAAACTATAAAAAATAAAAATTGTTTGTTTTCTTCTCATAGAACTCTAAGAATTTTTTCAGAATTTTTTATCAACTTTTTAGTACTGCATTTTCTTATTTTTATTATCATGAGAAAATACGTATTAAAAAATTCTGAAAAAATTCTCAGAACTTTATGAGAAGAAAATAAACAATTTTTGTCTCTTACAGTTTTTCTGTAAAGTTGATAGTATTTGAGAAAAAAATTATTAAAGACCAACATTCTGCCATTTTTAGTAATTAATATCTTGTTAACTATTGCGAAAATTGCAGAATAATATAAAACTTTTTTGTTCCCCTTGATCTATTGTACGCCCCCAATGCGGCGTTACTTAAGAGACACTCTGTATAAATAAAATTATTACATATCGCCATGTCCGCTAACCGATCGAATTCGAAATGAGGAGGGGTAGAGGGGGGGGGGAGGGGACATCGAACTCCTGCTTTCACCAACTTTCACGACGATCCGTTTGGTGGCCTTGTCCAGCTCTGCCGGCCGTCGACGAATTCGCGCCTTTGGCCTCGTCAACATTGTGGTCGACATTGTGCTACAATTATACTCTATAGCGAGGTCAATGCCAGCGACGGCGACGAGAGTGACGGAACAAGCAATGGCGGTCATGGATGGCGACGCGACGGCCACAATCTCGTAGTCACAGGTGTAAATACGAGATTCTTTTTCTCTCCTCCCCCCCTCCCCCCCCCGCTCCAGCTCGTCCTCTCCTGTCGTCCAGTCGGTGCGCGTCCAACGTCCGTGAAACGCCGTGAAACGCCGTGCGAGACATGTCACATCCTCCAAGACCACGATAACGATGGCATCGCCCGACAAGCCGCTCGACGGGATTGAATCACGTTTCGCACGTGCCGCTGACGAGACCGAATGGATCCCGTTGTCGCTGACATTGGTGGAGTATCCGCAAGGTCAGTACGAATGCACGGCGTGCATTCACTCTCTCTCTTATTGTCAGTATTACAGTATCACAAATTTTCACCTCGTTTCGTTACCGATTGTTTTACACACTGCTATGTAGACAAAAGCCAGGCATTTTGCTATTTGTTTATCATAATATTTAATTATATGCAGATGTTTATAGAATTTATAGAAATTGTTGTTATGTATTAAAATACCGAAGAATTTGTGAAATCATTTTGGATAAAAAGTTGTCAACATATGCTTATCAAAATATAAATAATAAGGAGCGTACAGTTATAATGCAAGATGTCTTAAGTGAAAGTCATATATTAAAAAATTTTTATAAAGTAGACGTTTCGGTCAAGTCTTGACCATTATCAGTACAATAAAATATAAAATGATGTATTACAAACATTAAAAAGAGTATTAACAATTATTTGCTAGTCCAGAATTGAAGATGACAAATTTACATTCGCTTATGAAATGAAATTTTATTGCGATATAGATTCCTTGTTACTTAAAACTTTATGAAACTTTGTGTGAAAAATATAATAATTGTTAATATTCTTTTTAATGTTTGTGTAACATCGTTTTATATTTTATTGTACTGATGATGGTCAAGACTTGACCGAAACGTCTACTTTATTATATTAAAAATTTTTAAATATATGACTTTCACTTAAGACATCTTGCATTGTGGCTGTATGCTCTTTATTATTTATATTTTGTATTTTTAAGCTTCTAAAAGTTTTTCAAAAATATGCTTATCAAACTATTTAATTTATACTACTAAGCTTTATATTCAATTTTTTGATGAAATTTAAGAAAAGACTTGTGTATTTGAAATTATTAAAAAATATCTATTTCTGACAATAATGTATGTTCATAAATTTTCAGGGGATATCTTTGGACATCTTTTGGCTGTAATAAGTCTAATGCCCTTTGCTATTATAACTGGTTTCATCACATTGATACTTTTTAGGAGGGATTTACATACTGTAAGTTAATTGTAATAATACATATAAACCAATTGTAATAACTTATATAGATTTAATTTATGTTAATTTATGTTCGCAAATATAACTTGTTCTTTAATTATAGATTGTATTTTTTATCGGAGTCGGTATCAATGAATGTATAAATTATGTATTAAAACACATGATTCGTCAAGCAAGGCCGATGAAGAGAGATGGCCTGTACGCCGAATACGGCATGCCGTCTACACATGCACAATTTATGTGGTTTTTTGCTGCATACGCAACACTTTTTATATACTTTAGGTAATGAAACATTACAAATAACTTCACAATCACATATCACTCTTGTCGATTTACTCATACGTTACTTTTTCTCTTGCAGGTTAAATTACAACTGTACGGTAACGGAGAGATTTTGGCGGACAATAGTAGCGATAGGATGCATCGTCACAGCTTTATTGGTAACTTACAGCAGAGTGTATCTGTTGTACCACTCCAACACTCAAGTAATTTGGGGTGCATTAATTGGGATTACACTGGGATCAGCATGGTTCATAATCATGCATATGATCCTGACACCGTTTTTTCCTATAGTAGTTTCGTGGTGAGTATCGGGAAATGACATAATAATGGTAATAATGGCTGCATTCAGCAGAGAAAAGTTTCGCAACTGTTCTAAAATTCTTTAGTACGATATTGGCCTTGCCCGTAGTTCCTCATTGGATCTAAATGTATAAACCAACAATATTAAAGAGTTTTACAACAGTTGCGAAGCTGCTTTCTCTGATGATTGCTGCTTAATATTAATATCATTCATATTATTCTAATCTTTGCTATTCTTCAGGCGAATATCAGAGTTTTTGTTGCTGCGTGATACGACGCTGATCCCTAATGTCTTGTGGTTCGAGTACACAAATATTCGTACGGAGGCTCGGGCACGAGCGCGAAAGCTATCGGCAATTGGAAGATCACATTGACAACCAGTTATGGTATCGGCCAATAAGCCGATAGCGTATAATAATGCCTTGATAACGAACGACTCAAAACATTAAACTAACATTCCTGCAATTGATTGCGTTGGAGGATTAATGCAAAAACACATTTGAAATATTCAATCCTCTTATCAGAGACGATTTAAGTTTCACAAATTCCAATATAAACGTGGAACCGATTATGAAATGATCGTCATTGCAATGTGATGCATCATCATACAATATTGTCGTTATTATGATAATTATTGTCTATTATTAGTACTAATACGATAATATTAAGCTGTTTTTAACGAGAAATAATTGGAGTAACGGCGCCGTCAAAACTGTGGCACAAGTGCGTATTGATTTGCGACTGCTGGAAGGATATTGCTGGGAAGAAAAAATAATGGATACGATCGTCACGCGTGTTGTAACAGATTGCTGGCATGGCCGAGATTATTAAAGTCATCAAATGCGTTTGCACGTTCAAGCACGATTGTATTTCTAGCGAGTTACAGTCTTTTTAAGGTCTCGCAAATTGTTCTAGGATACCGTTTTGTACCAACTCCCAAGAGGCATGTATCGCCTGCGTGCTAGATTCTCTCTCCATGTGTTCCTAATAATTAAGTAAAGAACGAAATAATGTGTGGGATGTACGCAATGTTTAGTTAAATAAAACTGAAGATTTGGAAACAGTCAAGAGGAAGCAGCTACGAGAAGAATCGATTCTCAATAAATCTGTTTTTGAATGAGCATGCAAGTGCTTCATTAGTGTATACCATTATGTGATGTTTCGCAGCGATTCATTCCAGCGTATTTACGAAAATTGGGATATTCATTCGATACATATTCACGACTCATACATTGTACAAGATATACATTTTTTTAGAAATGTAAGAGGGAGATCAGACTGGAGTACAATGGAGTATTATAGAAATTATTGAGTTAATAGAATTGATTGTATTAGACATAAAATTGCAATACAACGTTGTCTGACATGTTTGTATTCCA